CTTATATCCGCCACTGATTAAAGTACACGTAGGACCGAAATTAGTAAATTCCATGGTTATCGATATGAATCATGAATATAAATCACATCACAGCTCTTTGTTGTTCTTTGATAAAATATATTCTTGTTTATTTATCAAATTTATATATATTAATATTTTATAATATATATATATATATCTATATATACAGCAACTACACGCATCTTAAAATTGCAGAAGCAGTCCTAATCGACATCAATAAACCAAAGATAAATATACAACAAAAAATGACAACCTCACTTCCAACCCGGCGCTTAACCAACAACGAAAACAAAGAAGTAATAAAAACTAGCATCGTAAATAGTGACCAAGAAGAATATGATGCTATCGATGAAGAAAAGGAGACCAAAGAAGAAACCTGACACCTAATTCGCATCAAAGTTCAATTTTACAACACCAAAGTTAATTTTTACAACGTCAAAGTTAATCTTCTTGACAAAATATATATATATATATTTATATATATATACGCAAATATATATATATATATATATATATATATATGCGAAATTATTGATGAATATATATATATATATTTCTATATATTTATTTATTCATTTATTTTTTTATATAATATATATTGTTTTAAATTTCATCCTTCAACTCCCATGAACATGAACACTTGTGGTCATCTCCTACAGACAAATTATAAACACGCCCGAAAATCAAATTTAAAAACTGGCTGTAGAGATGTTGCTACAACTCTCCGGATCAACGTTGTTTTGGAATGAATTACCACGCTAATTTATTATGTTGATCGGGATTGTCTCTCGTAAAATCGAACAACAGTTTTGATTTTATTTTTGTTGTAATGTAAATAATTGATCGTCTATGGGACACTGATAAACTTTTAAAATTATAATTAGCACTATACAATTTTTTAAAATAATTATATTATTAATTACTGGATAATTGAGTGGGCGTAAGGTTTTTTCATATTATTCGTGATAATTTCTAACTAAAATAAGAAAAAAACTTGGATTAATAAAACATCTTGATTAAATATTATTGGATGAAGAAGAGTAATGCTTGCGTGTTTGCATTTTCGAATGAATTTGAATTTTTCACAATGAAATATCAGTAACATATTAGCCAGCAAAAAATTTTGCTTATAGAATTGATTTTCACAGTTTTTTATTATTTTTTATAATTTTATCACAATTCATATAAGTAAAAAAAATATTGTTATATATACACACACACACACAGATATATATATATATATATATATATATATATATATATATATATATATATATATATATATATATATATTATATAACGTAATGTGCTAGTAACAGCAGCTGAAGCGCCGATAACCACGGATTTTCCGACAAAAATGTAAACCACCTAAGTAGGTACCTAACTAACTTTTCGTATCAAAATATAGTTTTTTTGTTGCATGTGACCTTTGAGACCTGTGTTTGGTAAAAATATTTTGAAGTCTTTACCATCGTGAGTGAAATGTTTCCCATTAATTTGTTTTTATTCACATTTGTTATTATTCACATTTTTTTTATCGATCAATAAATGAAGTAAAATGACATTGTGATTTGGGTTAAAGTTTGAAATTAATGCTTAATATAAATTTATTTTGAGTACTTTATAAATTATTTTATTTATTTTTGAATTTTATTGTTGTATTTAAAAAAATCACTTGAAAGCTTGCCACTATTTCAAGACATTCCCAAATGAAGGTCAATCATATTATTCTGAATGGCCAAGATAAATCTCATTCCAAAACTAAAACACAGTTGTTTAGAATTGACATTAAGAATTTCGGAAATTTGACTAATATATGAAAAATTATACATATCATGAACCATCAATGTGTACATTGACGGTTCACGAAGCTTTGCGGTTTCAGGACCGACTGCCTTTGATGGTCTGCCGGCTTTGCTCAAGGACACTGGGTTGACCATGACATGCTTCAAAAAGAAGCTCAAAACATTTTTGTTTTCGTTACAGTGATATCTTAATTTCTGGAATTGTTCTATAGTGTTTTTTTTGTAACTGTGTTGAATTGTTACAGTTTTTTCGCAACCAGACAGTTATTTCTATGTTTAACTTTATTTTAGTGAGGACATGTTTAATCTAATGTTTAATTTTGTGTTATTTTATTTTTCGATGGCCCTTCTGAATTTTAACTTACTAGCGCTAGATAAATCTTTTGATAATAATAATAATAATAATTGATATAACAAAATGTGTATGTCACATGTGTATGTGAAAATGGTGTGACTCACTGTGTACATTCAGTCTGTTTCATTCGAGAAGTCATTTAGGAAGTCGGAGTAAATTGGTTTTTGTCTTGGACCTTCAACAACGACGCGTTTGAATCAAAATATCATTTACTTGTGAATAACGTAAACATTATCGTTTGCGGTTTATTTTTCATCAAGAGTTTATTCAAAAATTTTCCTAGTTGTCCGTAGTCAATTGATTTTATAAACAATTAAATATAGGCTGACTCTCGACAAGGATGGGACAGTTTTTACCCATCGATATCGAGCAGTGGACTAATTGAAAACCTCAGTCGAAAATCAAGATCAATGACTGAGATGCTCTTGACTTGTCCATATCAACCCGTTATATAAAATCTTGAAATTAGTTTTGACTCCGCTATTGAACACTTTGGTTTACCAATTTGTCAATTTTACTGTAACAGCTTTTTTGTAACATCACTAACAAATTGATTGCTACATTGCATTCTATTTTGGAACCAGATAACAAAACATGCTGCAGGTGATTTGAACTTTGATCATTTAACAAATTATATGCTTCTGCTATTGGTTAACATTTCGAAAAGAATTGTTTAAAAAATAATATTTAAATGTTTGAAGATTGTAATAAATTAATATCTAGGTATTTGATTAAAAAGGTTTCTAAACATCTTGTGTTGAAATCAGACTCAGGTGAAATTTATAAAAAACCAATTCCATTTGCTGAACCTGTTATATACAGGGATTTACTATTGAATGGTATTATATAATTAAAGGTTTTATGTAGAACTTTTTTAATTACTGTTGTTGAAAAACTCCCAATATTTTGGAAAATTAGCGACACATCAACTACCTACATATTAAAAAATATTCCTACATGTAAATATCGTGCGGGTCATAGACACAACCGACACTTATATGCACAATATTGCTGGCATACTTGAATAAAGGCACTTATTTTCTTGCTATTTATATATAATTTCCACACTTCACAATGATATAGGCTCACATGATACTTTCTATCTACAACAAGTAAGTCTATTCCTCATTTATGCTATATTTATTTACTATTAGTTTTAAACGATTGGGTACCATGAATAAGTGTACAAATTTTGAAAATTTTAGAAGGTTAAGAAAATAATTTAAAATTTAAAAATAATTAGACTTGTATATAAAACAATTAATTTAATATGTATAATATTAATATTATAAATAATAATTTTTATGTAGATATTATTTCAAAATAATATAAAATTTATAAATATTAAATTTGTGCGCTTGTCCGTAAGTGGATGTGCGTGCGTACCATAGATATAAAAAGTAGTTTTTTTTATATCTAGGGTTTTTCTAAATAAAGAATCTATTAAGAAAATATAACGAATTAAACCATTTCGGCATTCAATGTGATGAATTTAATTTAGTTAATTAAGCCATACAACTCATTATATCGTTACTTATTAAAAACGTACCAATACATAGACATTGCAAAAAATTGTACTGTATAGCAACTTTTCAATACAATTTTAATTGATCAAATTGATTTTATCCAAACATCAATTATTTTTCCTGCTTGTTTTAAACTATTTGCTCACTTAGAACGAAAAACGAGATAGGGAGCAAACGAGTAATAAATATAAATATAGCAAAATACTTCATTCGTTCTCACACAAAATTGCGAAATAAAATCAGAGGTAAGAGATGACTATATATTATTATATATGAGTCTCTGAATATCTGTTTGATGACTAACGCTAACTAACACTGTGTATGTGCCAAGATGCTCAAGTATTTATATATTGTGTCTACAATCTTCAACTTCGTTTAATATAACACTTTTACGTGTTTTCATTATCGATGATTTCTCTGTTTCTAAATTTATTAGTAGGAAGAATTCCAATTGCCAGTTGTTGAATATTTATTATCATATGTCTTTGTTCTATGAGTATTGAATATAGTGCAGTTATGCAGTTCTAACCAAGTACTGGGTTATAATTTTTATAACCCAGTACTTGTTGCAGCAGTTTATATAGGGAATTTGTATAACCCAGGCCTGATTTTTTAAATAAAAATTATATATATATATATATATATATATATATATATATATATATATATATATATAGGGTCTAGACTATCATAAATACAATTATTTATGAAGATCACTGCGTTTTCGGCATTATTCAAATTTGAGTTGAGTTTCTCAATTTTTCTAACGAGACTTTTATCATCTTGATGAAGTTTATTAAAGTTAAATAAAAAACTTTTAATATTTGACATTTTTGACAAAACATTATTAATAACGTTATTACTACAGAAATGCTCTTTTCGGCATCAACTGCCCTCATCAGATTAGTTATATAGTATTGTTCCGTCTTTGTGCCTTTGTTTTCACAGCGACTTTGATTGTAACTTAATTAGAATTAAAGTTGATCATGTGTTTATTTGTTGGAAGAATATTGGTATTATTTAGCTGAATATTTGTTGCTGGTTTACGTTTGAAGAAATTTTGAATGTTTCTTTAGAATTGATATTATTTCCTAAGTTGGTCATATTACGTGCATTTCATTGGAATCTGTTGGATTGACAGTTTGATACTGCATTCGTCACAGTTTGAATTTTTTAGGGTCATTCTCCGTCAACTTGAACGATTTAAAAAAAAATCTTTTTTCAAGCATTCCTAGCAGATCTTTAATTTCTTTTTTGTCTACCCAAAAAAATTTAATACCATTTATTTTCGCATCATCGTATGTGTAAAAATCTCTGGCGTTCAATATCTGATTTTTTGTTGATACTTGCAACCAATCTTTTTGTTGTCCCTCCAATTCCATCGCAAGGACTTTTTCCATGAGAAGTTGCAAAAAAGTGCCATTCTGCTTTTAATCCAAAATCCTCTTTAGGATGAATTAAATTAGAAAAATTTTTGTAATTTTTGTATTGACTTACCGCACCATCAGAAAAATATTTAATTAAAGTAACGTTTTTCAGGTTTTGTTTTACATATAGTTAATTAAATGTTTTTGAAAACCATAAACAGCGAAAACATTGTGATCGAGACAGTCGCTAATCATGCAAACGCTTTTGACAGATAAGTTTTCATCGTCTCTGTAATAAAGAACAATTGGGTGAAGAGTAACTTGCGTGTTGCTCCAATGTTGACTCTGGATTGCATCCTGTATTATCACCGAATAATTTTCAGCAAAATCCATTAAAGCAATACACTCCGAATTTTTTAAATTTTCTTTAGAATCGCTAAGATATTTCAATTGTTCTTTGCTTATGTAATGATGCGATGACAACTCGTCAAGTTTTTGCGAAAATCTTTCAATGAAACTGTCAACTGTATCCTGTACGGAAATCAATGAACTGCGATTATCATCATGGGACCATTGATAAAAACTGATTGTGTTGTCAATTGAAATTACAGCTTCTTCGAAAATCGCTCTTAAGTTATTTTCGACATTCAGTTTTCCTGGGCATTCCTCACATCTGTGTAACATGCATTCTAAATTTTAAATTGAAAAAAATAAAAAATATTGACACTTGAAAAAAATTTGTTTTGCCTGTTTTTGAAGTTGTTTTATTTTTCAAAGAAAGCAAAAGCCAATTTTATTTTTTGATATGTTGTTAAGCTATAAAAGCACTATATAAACAAATTTTAAAAATTAAAAAACGTTTGGTTCTTCATAGTTAAAAATGGCGCCAAACAAAAGAAGTTTTTCATTTTTTTGACATTTTGAGCTCCGATAGCTCAAAAAATTCAATACAGATTTTAACGAAATTTTGTGATTTATTTATGACTATAAGGTACTTCTAAAATAACAAAAAATATTTATTTATTTTGCGATAGATTTTGAGCTACGCTATTTGAAATCGGTGAAATTTTCAAAAAATTCATTTTTTTCTAGATTTTTTGTTCAAAATATCCTTTGATTCGAGACAATAACATTTATTTTTTTTGTTATTACATTGTTTCACTGATATGCACAAAAAATTTCATCAAGATATGTTGGCTAGTTCAAGAGATATAGCGTTCTACGTAGGTACAAGTTTTGAAAAAAATCGCTCAAAAATTTGAGGATGCTGTCACAAAAATCTTCATAACTTGAAAAATAATTGAAATTTTTTTATAAAAATTTTATTTTGTCGATGAAATACATTGAGGTACTTACTGTTCAAATTTTAAAAAAATCGGAGATGGTCGGGCGTGGACCATGGTTCAAGTTGACAGAGAATGACCCTTTATTACTATTTTTTTTAAATTAGAAAATTTTAATTTAAACGTTAAATGAAGTCCACTTTTAAAAACATCGTTTTTTTAATTGGAGATAAACAAGGTGGCGGATTTTTTCAGTTCCTTTTTCGTATTTGTTGAATTAATGTTTAATAATTTTAATTTTCGATCGAGATTTGTTTTTAGCTTGTGAGAAATTATATATTTTGAAATTAAATGCAATTTAGAATGTAAAAACTTGGGCTCTAGACTAAATAAAATAAAAATCCATCTCTCAAATTACAATTATTTATAATTATAAAATATAAATTAATTAAAAATAAAAAAAAATCTTTAATTATAACTCAAATTTTACTAAAAATACTAAACTACTAAACTAACTAAAAGAAAAAAAGTAACCTAAATAACGTTGTTATCCTATTCTATATATTATTATTATGTTATAAATTATATTATTAATTAAGAAGATTGTGACATTCACAGATAAATTCATTTTCTTCATTTCATCAAAAATCAATCTTGTCATTATTTTGTCATACATAGATAAATATATAATACATATTATGCATATAATGATAATCATCATTATTACTCTAAAATAAAATATTTGTTTTAAAATCATTTTTTTATTTCACTAGCAAGTCAGTGCTCAGGCAAGGCAGATTGATTTGATGAAATTTATTTTAGCTAAAATTGCTAGTTTGTATGTCACATGCCTCAGTTCAAACCTTAATGATCACTACATCGCCGCCTGAATATCTTTACTTCAGAGAGCTCCCACAAAGAAATGCTCCGTCGATTTATGGTCCCAGATCAAAACTTGACACTGAAGAACTTAGACAAAAATCGTTTATCTATGCACCTAAATTGTTAAGAAGTCATCGGGATATATTGGCTAAAAACGGTTGTGGTTTCATTGGTAGATTTTCAGAGATAAAGTGTTATATTTGTGGTAAGATTACTGATGTAAAAGACCAAACTTACTTGAGTTATATAGACAAATTACATTTTCCAAAGTGTAAGTATATTGTTAAACAAGACCAAATAGATGGTAAAACCTCAGCAGAAGAAATCAATACCAAAAAAATGTCAGATTCAACTGTTAAAACACAAATTCATCAATCCATAGAAGATGGTAAGCTTTTTAAATTCTTTTATGACGTAATATTTTTTTTCTAATTTGAAAAACTTTTTCCTGTCCCCATTCAAGCCACTGCTGCTATCCTTCGTGAAAATGAAAAATTACGCAGCACCTGGATTTGTCGGAAGTGTGAAAAGGAAACCATCCAAACCCTTTTCCTCCCATGTAGGCATCTTGTGATGTGCGATACATGTGCCGAATCATCAGATTACTGTCTTTACTGTTTCGAAAAAGTTCTTGGAACTGTTAAAACATTCAAAGTTTAAATTTGTTTGTCATTACTATTTTTAAAAATAGAGTTGTGCCTGCTTTGGTTCTGGCTAGGTCAGGGTAGGTCGAGGTATACTTCAATTACGGGCTGAGTTCATAATCTCTTGGTTTTATTTACTGATAAAATTTAATAATATTTTCGCCTGGAAGTTACACCAACCGTAATCAACTTCTATGTGCTTATGTTAGCTAATCATCTGCATTTTATATTAATAATCTTGGTGGATTCGTTGCATTGCACATAACTTAACTCAAGGGGCGGCCTTTTTACCAATATACAACACTTTCTTATGGGTTGAAGCAGAGATATGCAATGAACCTCAATTTTTCCAACTTTTAATTATTTTCAATAATGTCAATTTTATTTTTATTACTTAACTATATTAATTATACTAATATTAATAATATAGTAATATCACATAACTATAATAGATATAACGGCCTTCGCTCACTTTTAACAGTCGAACAAGAAGCTTACTTCAGGAGGGGATTTGGAAGATGATTTTTTATCGTTTGAGTCAAAAGTTACGATCGTGTATTTACTTATTTTGAAATATTGCTTTTATTTAAAATGTCAAAATTTAAATTTTTTTAAATTGTTATTCAATGTGGTAATTAATTATTTTTATTTGGTATAAATTTAAAAAATAAAATTGACGTTACCGAAAATAATTTAAAGTTGAAAAAATTTAGGTTCTTTGCATATCCCTGCTTCAACCCATAAAAAAAGTGTTGTATATTGGTGAATAGGTCTTCCCTTAAGTAATATATTATAATTAATAATTACATTAATTATACTAAATTATGTTTAAACCTTTTCAGCTTGCTGGTTATGGCTGGACGCCTTATAAATTTCTTATGGAAAATATTTATTAGAATCAATCGAAAGATTAATTAATTACATATGATTAACTAATTAGTTTATTAATAATTAGAATGATTAGTGTACTGACATTAACGCAAAAAATGTTTTATCTTTATAGCTCGAATATTGTGAGTTTTTATCTGATTTAAAAATGCTTGGGTGCGTTAGGGAATGTTAAATTACTCCTGCGGGTTTGCAGAAAGATGTGTTATTCCGAATGGATTTTTAGATAGAAACAAGACACACATCATAGAAATAAATTTGTATGAAGCTTATTAATAGTTGAGTGAATTCAAGTTGTGCCTCGTCATCAGTTCGATTCCAAATGTCTAATTTCGATGCTGGTTTTTGAGACGGTTCTAATGTTCGAAAGAACTTGATAAATAATTATTAACAGTCAATTGAAACAAACATAAATGATCAGCCTGAGGTTTTCATATGAGTTTTGTGTTATTTTAAATTTTGTGTTGCTCCTTTAGCCACGGTCTCATTTAATTGAAGTGTATATTTGAAAAATCTAGGCAAGTTTCGCTCACTAAATGGTGTAGGTGATATCGCTAGATATTATATTATTCCTTTAAGAAGAAACTTAAAAATCCGGTCGCCAGATAAAAAAAAGATGAATCGATTCTTGAACACAAAATAAAGAGAAAACTTATCAACCAAGTTTGGTCGTTAATTCTTGTTGCAATCGCTTGGTCTGGCTCTATGTCTTAAACTTAATCCTTCTAAGTTTAAATTAATTTGTTTTAATAAATCTAAACACTCTATTACTATTCCTCCTATTATCTTACCTGATTCTAAAACTCTTGATGTCTCTCATAAGTTTCGTAGTCTAGGTTTTATCTTTGATTCTACTATGTCTCTCTTCTCAGATTATTAGTGTTGCTAGAAGCTCTTACTTTCATCTACGTAGAATAAAAAAACTTTTGCCTTTTCTTGATGATCCTACTCTTCTCCTTCTTGTTACTTCGTTAGTCTTATTTAGGATTGATTATTGTAACTCGCTCTACTATGGTCTTCCTGACTATACTCTATCCTTTAAGTAAAGCTTTTAACTCTGCTGCTCGTCTATAGTTGCTCGTGCCCCTTTCTTTTCTCATATATCTCCATATCTTGTTCTCTTGCACTGGCTACCTATAAAATATAGAATAATTTTTAAAATTTGTACGTTCATGTATAAGTCTCAATCTAAATTATTTCCTAAGTATTTATCAGATATATTGATTGAACCTAAACGCCCCGGTTAACGATCGTCTTCTCGCTTTTTCTTAACTCGTGTTAAACACTCTTTTGCCAAATCTGCTTTTGCTTTTTCTGGTTTTTTTCTCTGGAACTCTCTACCTACTTCTCTGACAGAGCGGATCTCAAGACCCATCTGTTTTAAAAATTCATTGAGGAGCGCTGTTGAACATCGCGGAAATAGCGCTTTATAAGCTAATTGATTGATTGATTTATTCACTTGAATGTAGTGAAATTGTTAATTACAGAATAGAAAATGGTTTGATAAAAAGTTAACGGGTAAAAGCAAAAATTAAATAAAAACTCGTGTTAACAACTTAAGCCGTTATATAAAAAAAATTATTTTGATTTGTTACACCAGTTATTGTAAATTTTAAAGCTTTGTAAAGAAGCAAATACGATATAAATGCAATGATTCGCTATTCATGTTATTTAAATTGAAACATTTGAACGTTTTAATTTGTTCATATTTTCTTATTTAGTAATTAGGGTTTTTTTGGACTTCCTGTGAAATAGATACGGTCAGGACTTTTTATCGCTTGCTTGTATTAAGCATAATTTTCTAGTAATAATACGTAATAATAGAAAATAATTTTAAAGTTAAATAATTTCGGTTATAAATACTGCCAAAAAAAAGAAGAGTCGCCTATTCTAAGGTGACCTCGTGTCACCGGGAAATGTCGCCTTCCCAGAAAAAAGGTACCTCCAAAAGAGCAAGAGTCTCTTCACTTGAACCAACATATGAAGAACAAACATTTCAGGTAAGTCCAGTCTTCTATGTAATCGAAGCAGAAAAAGACAACGACATAACTTACTTGTTTCCGTGTTCAAAAAGAGATTTATGCACAAATAGGAGACGTAGATAATATAAAATTTGGAAGAAATAAAATAATAGTAAAAGTTAAAAACGCAAAACAAGGAGAAAAAATACAGACAATATCAAAAATTAGCACCATAAATGTAAAATGTTCACCTCATAGGTCTTTAAATTTTTCAAAGGGGGTAATCAAAACAGCATCACTAAAATACTGTTCTGAACAGGAAATAAAAGAAGAGCTAAAAAATCAAGGAGTAGTAGATGTTAAAAGCATCACCATTAAAAAAAATGAACAACTTATCAAAACCAACACTTATATCCTAACCTTTCAAACACATAAAATCCCAAAAACTATGGTGATTTGCTATGAGAAAGTAGAAGTAAGAGAGTATATTCCAAATCCGATGAGGTGTACTAAATGCCAAATATATGGTCAACATAAAAATATATGTAACAATAAAAGAGTAACTGTGGTGAATTAGAACACTCTCATACTAGAGAAAAGCCATGTAATAATAATACAAATTGTTATCACTGTAGAGAAAAGCACACGACCTATGACAAATCATGCCGAGTATACAAAGAGCAAAAAGAAATAATAAGAATCAAGATCATGAATAAAATCACCATCCCGGAAGCAAAACAAATATTAAAAAAAACAACTCAGCAAAAAAAAAATGCAACCATAACCAAAAATTGTCCTCAGAAGGCAAACAAAAGGACATCTTGCAATTTGATCCCAGCAGAGCCACTCAAGGTTCATAAAAAATGAAGATAAAGACTCAACTAACAAAAATAATAATGACAACTAGCTCAAATATCAAAATAAAACATGCTGCCAACAAACAATAAGCAGCAACGAAGACGATAATGATGTTTTTCCCCCAACGGACGAAACAGAAGAAGCATGCCATAACCTAACAAAAATACTCAATCATACTTATAACAACAATAATGGATAAAAACTCCAAAGAAAAAAATAATAACAACAGTACAGAAGAAGAAATCAAAATTCTACAGTGGAATATCAGAGGAATACAAAGCAATTTCCCAAAACTACAGATATTAATAGCCGAACAACAACCACAAATAATATGCTTACAAGAAACAAAACTAAACGCAAATAAACAAATAGATATCAAACAATATGTTAACTACTCAAAAGCAGCAGAACCATCTCAAACAAATTCAGCTGGTGGAATAACAACATATATTAATAATACAATAACGCAATCAGAAATTAAAATTAATCAAAATTTAAACATAATAGTAACAAAAATAACAACCAACAAAACCATAACCATTTGTAATATGTATTTGCCACCTAACACATTGACAAGAACAGAAGAGATTTTAAAGATCCTCAATGATCTTCCCAAACCTCTGATTCTCATCGGAGATTTCAATGGTCACAGCCATTTGTGGGGGAACAAACGTACAAACTTACAGGGCAAGTGCATTGAAGAAATAATAACACCACGAGGAGATATCCAATTAATAAAGCCAACTGGCCCCCACATATTTTCATGAACAGACAAATTCTTTCTCTACAATAGACCTTACAATGGCTTCATCATCAATAAAGGATGATATTAGTTGGTCCGTTCTCAGTAATCAGCACGGTAGCGATCATTTCCCAATTATCGTCAAAATTAAAAGAGCTCAGATTAGATCAGCCAGAGGAACACAACTAAATTTCAAAAAAACGGACTGGAAGCTATTCAAAGAGCTGTGCATAAACCACTTCATAACATGGGAGATCACAACCGAAGACCCTTTGGAGGTGTGGACCAAAACAATAATGCAACTAATCCATCAAACAACACCAGTAGTAAAAAACAAAAATAAAAAAATAATAAATCCATGGTTCAATGAAAATTGCAAAGCAGCAATCAAAAATAAACTTAAACACGTAAGAATTTTTAAAAATTGTCCTACCACAAGCAATTTAATTGAATATAAAAGGGCAAAAGCGATGACAAAAAAAATTAGAAGACAGGAGAAATTAAACTGTTGGAAAAAGTTTGTAAATAGTATGAAAAGCAACACTCTAATGAAGACCATATGGAGAATGGTTAACAGAATTAGAAACAGGGAAACAAAAATTCATGTACATCACATAAAGGACCAAAACAAAGAATACGAAACAGATGAGGAAGTAGCGAATATTTTGGCAACTCACTTCAGAAATAAATCTTTAGCAAAAAACCATAGGAACCTTTTCATAGTACATAAAGAAAGCAAAGAAAAAACCATCTTAGACTTCAAATCAAACAACAGCGAAATTTATAACCAACCAATAACCTTCAAGGAAATGATAAGTGAAATTAAAAACAGTCGGAACTCCTCCCCTGGTAAAGACCAAATAACATATGACATACTAAAAACATCCCATCAATAGCAGCTGAAAAACTCTTAGAAATATATAATTACATATGGACAAGTTCTAAAATTCCAAAAATCTGGCATCATGCAATAGTGCTCCCCTTCAATAAACCAGACAAGCACAAAGATTCACCAGATAGCTATAGACCCATATCATTAACCAGTTGTACATGCAAAATTTTCGAGAAAATAATTCACAATAGATTAATCTGGTATCTCAACCAAAATAACATAATAACAAATACCCAATGCGGTGGAAGAAAAGGTAGATCAACGATAGATCACATTATATCAATGGAAACTTACATAAGGAATGCTTTAGCCAACAATGAACAGGCATTAACCATCTTTTTGATGTAGAAAAGGCATACGATACCACATGGCAATATGGAATCATGGACAATCTACACAAAGCGGACCTAAGAGGATTGTTACCCAAGTTCATAGAAGGCTTTTTATCAAATCGGACATTTCAAGTACAAGTGAATAATGTTCTGTCAGAAGTCATGCATATGGAGATGGGCATACCCCAAGGAAGCATCCTATCTCCAATCCTTTTTTTCCTAAACATCAACACAATCAACCACATACTTCCAAAAAGTATATTGACATGTTTATACATGGACGACCTGGCAATAACCATCAAAGACAAACAAATAAACAATATGGAAAAAAAACAAATGAAATATTGGAAGACATTAATAAGTGGTCAACAACAAATGGGATAAATTTCTCAAAAACCAAAAACATATGGCCTGATTTTCTCCAGGAAAAGAATACCCAAGAATAGTATTCTAAAAAAATGAAATAAAATTTAAAGAAGAATATAAATTTCTGGGAGTTACATTCGATAATAGATTAAACTTCATCTCTCACATCACCAAAATTAAAATCAAATGTCAGAAAGCCCTAAATTTAATTAAAACAATATCACACTATAATTGGGGTGCAAATCAAAACAACCTTCAGATAATCTATAAAACTACGACAAGAGCCATTTTAGATTATGGTTGCCAGACATATGGAGCAACAAGAAACTCTTATATTAAAACCATAGAGCCTATTATTAACGAAGCATTAAGAAGATGTCTTGGGGCCTTTCG